GGTAGTGTTTCATATGGAACTATAGAAAAAAGTTATAATAAGAAAGATGATGTTTACATAGAAAGAGATGAATCATTTTAGGGTCTTGTCAATTGGATAGTTGTTGCCTTAGGGTTACTGTGTTAGCCCAACAGTTTTATCATAGCTACAAATTCTATTTAAAAAAAAACAAAGATTTAATAAGAAACAGCTGATACTACAGGTAAGCGCTTCACACACAGGTGCTTCTCTGTAGTTAGCAAGTTGTCTTCAGTCTTGGCATTTTAGAACATCTGATTTGGTAAGGAACGGCAGGCAAATTATACCCAGCCATGAAGGAGAAGGTCTGTAAAGTATCCTGCAAATTATGGCCAATCTTCTTGTGACTGCTGGAATTACAAAATACCTACTTTTGCTCTTTGACTTCTGAATTTTAAGTTCGACTTCACTTTCCCTTTATATGGCCATGAGGATTGTCGAAGATCATGTGCTCCACAAGGATTTGCACATGATGACAACTTCCATGTTCTTGGGGACATTGAGGAGCTTCCCTGGGACCAGAAGGTTTCTAGGTGGGGCTGTGCTTCTTTCCTGTAGTAAGGGAAGTGGCACAGACTGAAGGTGCCATTTGGCAGTAGTACGCAGCCTGCAGGGGCTGGGTGTCCTGGTGCTGTTGTCCAGAAAGGTGCAGTGTACTCTGGGGGCTGTGCTCTTGTTGGGGAGAAACTTGGTGATTTGTTACCAATGAATTTATACTTTTGTGTGCTTCCCTGGTGCTGTTTAAGGTCCTTTCTTTTCAAGTTGAAGGACTCCCTTTAGCATTTCTTATAAGGTCTGAGGTGATGAACTTCCTCAGTTTTCACTTGCATAGAAAGGTATTTATGTCTCCTTCATTTTTTTAAAAAAAATTAAAAGTATTATGGGCGTTTGGTTTTTGGTTACATGGATTGTTTTTGTAAGAATGTTCAAGTCAGGGTTAAAAGTGTGCCCATCACCTAGATAGTGTTCACTGTACCCATTAGGTAGGTTTTCACCCCTCCCCTCTGTCCTCCTTCGCCTGCTTGATTTCCTTTGAGATTTACTTCCCTCTGTGCACATGTGTGCTCATCAGTTAGTTCCAATTTAATAGTGAGTACATGTGGTGTTTGTTTTTACATTCTTTAGATACTTCACTTAGGATAATGGTCTTCATTTTTGAAGGACAGTTTTGCTGGGTGTGGTATTCTTGGTTGGCAGAATTTTTTCTTTCAGCATTTTGAACATATCAGCCCACTCCCTTCTGGTCTGCAAGGTTTCTGCTGAAATTCTTCTGATAGTCTTACACCCCACAAATATTTATACATTTTATTTTCATCATCGATGAATTCAAATATTTTCTAACTTTCCTTGTGGTTTCTGTTTTGACCTGTGGATTGCTTAGAAGTATTTTTCTTAATTTCCCAGTATTTGGATATTTTATAGTTATCTTTGTGCTATCGATTTCTTCTTTAATTACACTGTAGTCCGAGAACTGTAAAATGTGAGGACTTGTTTAGTTCAACATGAGATCAAACTTGTAAATATTCTGATTACATGTGAGAGAATATGTGTATACTATAGATGTTAGATACATGTTCTCTACATGTCAATTAGTTCAATTTTGTTGATTATCTTGTTTCAAATATTTTATATCTTTATTGATTTTTGTTTGCTTTG